CCCCAAAACCCCAAAACCCCAAAACCCCAAAACCCCAACATCTAAAATCTAATTGAAAATAATCTAACGTAGAAATGTCAAGAGCACTCGATGACTTACAGATAGAGGATATCGGACCTGACGTAGACAGAACTCCTGGAGTGAGAGGGTTTGGCTATGCCAAACAAAAGTCTAAAGACTTTGAAAATGATTGGGACGCAGAGGTAGTATTTAAATTTTTAAATTTTATAGAGTAGCGATGATAACGAGTATGGCTTCAAACCTAATGCAGGCCTTCAGCTCAACTCTCATATTAATAGTGTCCCTGGGAAACGAATGCAGTCATTTAATGCTATGAATAAGCAGAATAAGGGCCCATTCGGGACCAAGAAGAGAGGACAAAGCATGAGCAAGAATCCAAATTCAAGTTCTGAATATAATAACATTTTCTATGGTTCCCGGGGAGCCAAGAACCATGATTCTTCCCAAGCAGGAAGTAAGGAAAATTAGTAATAATTTAGATGAAACTTCCTTCCATTCAGAGATGATGAGCAATAATGACTCAGACATTAGCGCTGTCCCAATGGAGCAAAGAGAGAGAAAAATCTACTATGACGCGAGCTCTCCCTCAAATAGCCCAGCTAAAAAGCTAGGCAAAGCTAGAGGAGGTAGCAACTTCAAAAGAGCAATCCCCAAAGCTGCTGAAGAGTCTGAAGTATTCGATGAAGTAATCTTTTGTTTAAAATATATAGGAAAAGAAGCAACCTAGTCCGAAGAAGGAAATCAAGGTTATCAAATAAATCAGGGAAAGTGAAAATTAACTTCAATTTTGACTCTGATTCTGATGATGATGTCCAGATAAACCAAGAAAGCATCAAAATTAGTAAGGATTCCTGTAATATTGCACTTTAGAGACCCAAAAAGGAAAGATTAAAGACACTTCCATTCCTGGGAAATTTATGAGTAATTCAGATATCAGGTGAGCAATCAATCTTATCCTTTTAGGAAGAAGTTGGGCAAGATCGCAACAGAGGAAAATAAGATTTCAAAGATGAGAAGCCACTTTGAAGATGCTGAAGATGACGCGGCAGAGGAAGCCGTGGAAATCCCTAAAGAAAAGACAAGAAATGAATGCCTCAGCCCAAAGAAAATTGGTAGGTTTATAAGTTTATAACCTTCTTAGCTTTTGTCACAGAGGAGGATAAGCAAGAAAATATTGATCCAGCTAAAAATAAAAGGGGACATTCCAGTTCCCTTGACTCTTCTGACTCCAAGGAGGAGGCTAAAGAAGAATTTAAGGATGAAGTTAAGATATATCTGAACTCTTGTTCTGGCTATAAGACTAATAACGATCCTTTGCATAAAAATCCTACTAAATTACAGCCCTTGGAGAAACAGATGAAGTTGCAAGCAGCTTATTTAAATTATGTTTTTGAAAAGCCTTTGGAAGAAGCCAAAGAGCTCCTCGCAAGACCGATTCCCAAAGAAATAGGTACTCTAATGCTAACAATCGTGAGGAACAAATCTGGGCTCAGCAGATGGAAGCCAAAATACACTCTTGTAGCATTCCTAGTGAACAAGAGTAGTAAGAGTAATGAATGCAAGGAACTGCTTGTTGGGAAGAAGAGGTCTAACAACAAGAAGCCAACTTACCTGATTTCTCTTGATATTTCAAATCCAAAGCCTAAAGGCCCAGCTTATGTTGGAAAAGTAAAACTTGTCAACAAGAAAAAGACCAACTTTGTTGTGTATGACCATGGTCTGAACCCAAAGAAGGATAGGAAACCCAAGTGGAGGAAGACACTCTGCGATCTCCAATTTGAAAATAAGAAGATTCCAAAATTCGGAACTGCCAGGATTGCAACCGCCTCTTTCGTTCCGATAGAAGATAATTTCTTAACCGGTAGGAAATTCCAAGACTACCTCAGAGTGGAGACTCATGAGATTATCAGACTGATGAAAAGTCTTGTTGTATGTGAGAGCAAGATGCCCTCATACGACAAGGAAAAGAATAAATATGTACTATGCCTTCTCTAATCCAATAGGTAATGAACTTCCAGAGCAGGGCTGGTGCAAAGAGTGTAAAGAGCACATCCTTAATCCTCAAAAGACTGAATGAAGAAAAAGGTAATTCCCTATCTCTACCCTTTAGAGAACAATGAGTGCCAAATCGGGGACGAAATCTTCTCCTTATGCAGATGGGATAAGACAAGATTCAATCTCGACTTGCAATACCCCATGTCTATCCTATCCGCCTTCGGAACTGCTCTGTCCATTTTTGAACTTGGCTAAATCAGCCCACTGAATCGCTAAAATTATTCAACAATCAGACTTGGCTAGGGGTTTTGGGGTTTTGGGGTTTTGGGGTTTTGGGG